AAGCAAAAAGCTCAGTTATTTCAGCGTTTTTCTGGTAAGCTACAAATAGTAACTTGTGGATAGAGAAAAAGTTCTTGTGAAAATGCTTCATCATAAAATCAATCACTTTCATTTTTTATGTTCAAACAAACAAGCCTTAGTCTCCTTGATGCATAAGCAGGCAAAAAGATACCATTATCATAACCCTAAAAGGACATCCAAATGATTAAAAATGCAGTTGCCTTTCCTCTTTCGGCATAATTGTTTACTATACACTGAATAGTTTATTTCAAATTTCCATTTCCTCAAGGTTTTAGGACTAAGATTAATGATACATGTAAGAGCCAAAACTCCCTCACTAGGAGGCTCAAAATATATAAACTGTGACTAAAAAGCTTGACCCACATAAATGATAAATGTGAATAAAAAATATAATCACCTTACAAGTTCGAGATTAGGTTACGAGTTTCTACACGCTTCATCCTGACTCTGGAACTTTCACTTCCCTTAGAACCTTTGCAGCATCCTCGGGGAACACAGGATTTATATAGCACCCAGTTCCAAGCTCAAAACCCGCAATTCCAATTAGTTGAGGTAATATCTGTATAAACCAGTGAGTGTATGCTAACTCTGACCCATTAGCATGAAGTGGACTAGTGTGAATCATATAGTTGAACGGTGGATTGTTCAACTGCAAAGACATCTTCCTGAGCATTAGTTTCAACAAACCTCCCAGTTCAACTGCCTGCAAAATAAAAGTAGAGAAATAATAATCAACTTATGGAACAAGAAACTCAAACAAAGGAGAATTAGCACGTGTGGATATAGTTTGATAACGGCAAGAAACGACATAGTGCACAGTATAGCAATACAAGGAGGACCATTGCTATGCTAAACCCTCAACATTCTAAAATCCACGATGTGTAACAATTACAAGGATGTTCAATCTGTACTATATTAAAATAAATCCCCAGAATTCAAATGTCCGTCAGACCCTAAAGCATTATTTATTGGTCACTATCCACTATTCATCTCTTAGTATCTGGATTAGATTGACATATATATATATATACAACCTGTTTGAATACAAGATAAAAGTGTTTTTTTAGAGTTTCTCTACCAGAAAAAGCTCCTTATTTTTAGAAGAGACTCAAAAGCTCTTATAAGTCTATATCCAAACAGGCTGATAGTACAAAGTGTGGTTAGACTGTTATGTGCTATAGCAAACCTGGTCCCCATTGCTTTAAGTGTAATTCCCGATTAACAATTATGGTATAAGGAAAAAATTGCTATAAGGTTTTAGTTCAATCAATTTACCAAGCATGAAGATGGCATGAAAAAGTACTTGCTACTCAGATATTTTTATGAGATCTAACAGTAACAGTTCCCTAGTAGAACTTGGCATCCCCAAGTATTATATAATTTCTAAGCACAGTCTCCAATGTCATTATTCAAGCACCAAAGAAAAGCAGTTATATTTCAAAATATAATAAGAGCAATAGGAACAACTACCAGTCTAATACCATTTCAGATCTAATTGTTCAATATGTTTCCGTCACATGCAATCACCATATATTGGAAATCAGCGTCAGGTCTTGTAAAGCAACTAAAATTAAGCCTTAAATTCACACCTCGTATCATATGCATTATATTGAAACCAGACAAAATATTTTACACATAGGAATCAACGGGACTAAACAAATAATGAATTGATACCTTTTCATCATCCAATTCATGGAAGTGAGCAGAGTGGTACCGAGGAACAATCCATATCTCAAAAGGAAATGTAGCAGCAAAAGGAACCAGTGAAAAGAAGTTAGTAGATGAATCAATTAAAAGATCTTCCCGTTGAATTTCACAAATAAGACATTTCCCAGTCTGATCAAAATAATCTTTCATACTGGCAAGACGGGCAGAAACACTAGGAGGAATAATTGGAAGGGCCATCATCTGACTGTGAGAATGACTCATTGATGCACCAGCTGAAGCACCATGATTTTTAAACACCTTCAAAGATTAATAAAAGCAAGTTTACATGATAAAACAAGTGCAAGAAGAAGAAAAAAAGTAGTTTATATAAGCAGAATGAGTAAGACCAGATCAATTTCAATTATTAATGTCATCGTAGAAAATGATAGAAATGTAGCACCCAACTACCATTTGATTATAGAATTATAACTTTAACCATAAAAGTAAATAGATCTATCATCAGTGATGCCAAGCAGGCAAATTGCATGTAAGCAACCATAGCTTACTGCTCAACTGCTCTCATTACCAAGAGAGTCTAACTTAGATGGTTGAACAGTGTGTGAGCTGTTTTAAACCCCTCAGTACCAAATTCAATTCATATGGATCAAGAAAAAAAAAACAATTGCTCTCATTACCTGATACGAACCCAAATCTCGCAGCAACAATTAAAGAGGAAAACAACACAATAATGAAAAATAGGGCATATATTATTTCTGAAGAAAAACAGGAATTACAGTGGAATGAATATCCTACTGCCACAGAGCTAACCTCCTTCAGAGAAACCATGCTCTTGGCCCATAACAAACCATTTGATTCTACCAGATGCCCTTTCTCTCTCCTCTAATTCCCCATATAACAGAATCCCGTCACACGCCCTCACTTATTGCCACATCAGCATTCTCACATCGGACCCTTCTATTCTTTCTAGAACATAATAGGCTACATAATGGCTTGGGCAATTTAAGTGCAAACTGCACATTTGGACCCAAATTAAAATCAACAATTATACTGTCTAGAAGTCATACTTCGCAATCACAACTGCACTCAGTAAGTGAACTAAAGCACATTTCTCTAATTGCAAATAAATCTAAGTTCTACATGCTATTTCTGAATTTCACTCAAGAGTTTATACCTTACATTGAAAACTATCAAGTATTAACACAACATATCAGTTCATATAGCATATGCTGCATAGAAAGCATATATTACATATTCCATCTAAAATTCCCACCAAAGCTTTTGAGAAACAAGCACGTAATAAAATACAATAAACAAAACAAGACATAGGAAGAAAGCAACTTCATACATTGCATAAATAAAGCAACAAATCCGATACAAAAACAACCAACAAAGCCATCAAAGGGCTGCAACTCCTCACACCCTTTGAAGCAAAAAAAAAAAAAAAAAATCTTGGAGCACAAGCAGTGGCCAAAACATCACAAAGTAATCCCAATATCTAAAGCAGACAGTCAAATTACTCCTCAAATAATATGCCAGTCAACTTACGTAAGGACTAATTTGGAAGACAATACACATTCAGAGATCACAGATGTTAGAGACTAATTCAACACAAGTGAGCAACTAATTTCATATTTTATTCATGAGGTTTTGCAATATTCAATGTCTGTAAGGCGAGAACAAATTCTACTGATAAAATACATACTTAGAGACTTCATACATCATTTCCATCATTCTGAAACTAATATGACCTCTGACTCGTGGAGTGAACAGTCAAATTAGTTCTTGAAAGATACAGTGCGAGTCATATTCATATTAGAACTTTGAGGAAAGATACACATAACACCAACATAGTGTGGCCGTACACCATAAAGGCCAAAGTAAAGAAGAGAAGTACCACCAAAAAGACTTGTGCAATTGATTAAATAAAAGATGATATACAAATAAGATCTGCAAGTATTAATAGAGTAAATGAACTACACTACAATGAGAGAGTTAAACATAGTAACAGGCACTCATGCAGTTAAGCAGTTGGAACAGTCAATTAACTAGCCTAACACTATCTATGAATGCTAACTAAATACCTATAATACTAACTTGGGTTGGCGTGAATGATGAGGAACTCATGTTGCTTGACTAAGTGACTGGTGTTTGAATCTTGCCTCTTGAGAATGCAAAAAACTCAAGTTGGGAAGAGATACACACCTATTTGATGTTTATCAAACCTTTAAGAGAGATTAACTTGTGTTCAACTAGGGATACTCCTGGGTGATGAACAAAACAAAACTAGCTACCTTTAATAGCTGTAAACCAAGTTATACCTAAGGTTCTTAAATGTACATTTCAAAGAATAATTTGCCAATGAAATATTCATTTGTATACTAAAGATCTATTTGGATAGACTTCCATAAAAGTACTTTTAGGAGAAAAAAATAAAAAGGAAAAATGAAATAAGCTTCTCTATAAGCTAAAACTAGCTTATGCATAAATTAAAATAAAGTTTTTAGAAAAACTAACATTAGAAACCTTCTACAAATTAGCTCAAGATAAAACTTATTTCATTTTTACTTTTCATGTTTTTATCCTAGTAGTATTTATGAAAATGTTTATCCAAACAGGCCCTAAGAGTGTAATAGGGACTTGAGCTGAACAATTTAAACTTCTTAGAAGCACTTCTAGGAGAAAAAAAAAATGAAATAAGTTTCTCCATGAGTTAAAATTAGCTCATGCATAAACTTCTCTTTTATTAATTTCTCCAAAATCTTATTTTTAACTCATGCGCACACTAATTTTAGCTTATGGAAAAACTTATTTTAATTCTTCTTTTTTTTTCCTAAAAATACTTCTGAAAAAGTTTATCCAAACAAACCTTAAGTGTTTATCAGTTAAACACAAACGCATAAGTTGTTTCTATAATCGAAAAAGAAACAATTAAATTGTTTTCATATAAGCTATAACTTATGGACACAAGTGTATTTTAATAAATTCTCCCAAACACCTACACCAGAAGTGCTTATATTATAAGATAATTCATTGAAACTTTAGAGACGTGTTTGTTTCAAGTAACGTTTGGTGGGAATATCTAAACTGTATTAAAAATGTTTACGAAGAGGCTCATTCAAACAAACCCTAAACTCAAATAAAGCGTAAATAAAAACAACTCCTCCAAACGCATCCTAATTTGGCAATGAAATAATAATCAAGAGGCACGAGAGAAGTAAGGAACGAAGGAACGAACCTGCACGTATCGGATGGATTCATGGCTCGCGACTTGGCGGATTCTCTCTGTATAAGCGAAGAAAACTCGCGCAATTTCCGAAGGCGACAAATCGCAGAGCTGAACCGGGTGAACCGGGGTTTCAATAACCACGTCATGGAACCCGAACCCGGCGAGGACCGAACCGGAAGGGGCCGGTTCGGGTTGGGTGAGGTCGCGGGAGAGAGCGGGGTAGAGGTTCTGGATGACCCGGATTTTCCAATCCGGGTCGCGGGGCGGGACCCGGAAGATTTCGGGCGCGCATTGGTGCTCGTGGCCGATGCAGAAGGGGCAGTGCTGGTTCGGGTTCGGGTCGGTTGGGGACTTGGATTTGAAATCGGAGGGTCGTTTGGCTCTGGCGGGTGAGAATATCACCCAGCGGTTCCACACCGCGTCTTTTCTCACTTCGGGGTTTCGGTTGCCTGAGGATGAGGCCATGCTCTTACGCTGTGCTCTTCTCTCTGATCAGTGGTCACTGTGTTCTGCTTCGTTGATTACTCCGTCTCTTCAATCTGCCCTTGCATCTGATTCTGCTTCGTTTCTGTTCGGATGTTTTAACTCTCCATTAAAAGTAATCATATGCTATAACCGATAACCATTGGAGAAGGCACACGTCTATTTTGTTTGATGCAACTATATAGTGAGAACTAAAATCGATATTGTTGATTAATTTAGCAAGGAAAAAAGCACTCCTTACCTATGTAAAAAAATAATTAAAAAAAATGCTCCTCTATACTAATATATAAAGGGAATATTTTTTTTAGGTAATTATTTTAATCTTTACTTTTTTTATCATTATACTTTTTTATTTTAAAAAATTAAAAAAAATTAATCAAATTAAAAAAAATATTTTTTAATCAAATTTAAGAACTTGAAACTAATGAATTTATACTTCTATACTAATATATAAAAGATATATCACTTTCAATAACTATTTTGGTTTCAACTTTTATATAGATCATTTTATCATTTGTTTATTTTTAATAACTACCTTTTTTATGAGTAATTTCTCATTGTTATTAATTTATTTTTTTCTTTTAATACAATGCAGGCACGAAATGTCTTTTTCCTGCTAGTTATTTTTAAAGAGAGTAGTTATTTTTTTATATATTTATTGTTCTTATTTTATCTTTAAATATAAATTAATGAGAAAATTAATAATATATAATATAAGAGTATAATTGTTTTTGAAAATGTAAAAAAAAATATTTTATTTATATATTATTATAGATTTTAAATAATTTTTTAATTAAAAATTTATAAATTGTGACATACAATTTTTTTCTTAATCATGGTATTGATACATGGTATTTAGGAGTAGCAAAATTGATCAATCCACCTAAAACGAGAAAAAATGAATTGACTTATAAAAGATATACAAGGGTGAGGTTCAAGTTGACCCACTTTAGTGAGTTGGTGGGTTGATAAGTTGATACACATGAAATTCACCAAAAAAAAAAAACTCAATTAAAATATTTTAATATAGATTATCATTTCAACATATAATTTAATTATTATTGGTAAAGTTAATTAGAGAAGTTATATTTTTCCATGCAAAAAGATAAATATATATATTTCTATTAAAAAAAGACATTATGCATGAAAATATACTAGTAAAAAATATGTGATTAAAATAATATTCTTCTATTTCATATAACATGAAAATAATTACCTAGAAAGAGAAGTTAAATTATAAAATTAAAACATTGATTCAACATAAGTTCACTACAAATTTATCTTTTAAGAGTATAAAACAAAACAAAGTGAGTTGACGGGTTAACCCGCTAAGCTAGTAGGTTGGGCAAACCAGTTGAGCAAGTTGGTAGATTTATTTATCCAACCTAACCCCAAAAATAGATGGGTTGACATAGATGGGTTGACAGGTTGACCTACTGGATTCAACTCACATTATTGTCCTTAATAGTATTGATACGAAGTATCTATAGTTGAAAGCTCCCAATTTCGTTTATTTCATACTTATGACCAAAATTCAAGCACTGGATAACTTAGTTAAGATTAGGGATGACAATGAAATAGGTCAGAGTTGAATTTTACTTTTTCCATCCTCGCCCTTGCAAAAGGTGGGTGGGGTGGGTTCAGGTTTGAATTTTAAAAAAGTATGTTTATATTTTTAGAATTCATCCTCATCTCCATCATACTTAGTTGGATTTGGATAAATTCATGGACACCGATCACATTGTTTTAAAAAAATAATTTACTTATACATTTTAAAATAATTAATTTATAAGTTAATATCTATATTATAATATAAATAATAATAATAAATTAGAAAGAACTTATAAATAGAAAATTTAAGAATTACATTATATTTTTAATTAAACGTATAATTTTAAATATGTTACTTAATTATTGTTGTTCTTACCGGAATTTGACCGTAGGGGTGATCCGTCCAGTGAGATCGGTGAGCCTCCTTTGCTTGATGTATTGGTGCTCCAAGATGGGGGAGGTACCTGCAAAAGAGACTCCGATGCCAAAGTTAGGGTTTGTATGAGTGATAGTCTCGTATAAGTAATGCACATACCTTAGAGTGAATTAGGGTTGCTTTGGGCTCTGGGCCTGAGATAAGATATGATAGCGAATCTCGTCTGGAGCGAGATCTTCGGTAATCAGTGATTAGATAATGGGTCTCATATGGGCGAGATTCTCGGGAATCAGTTGTGATCCACCTGAATGTCGAGCTGACGTCGTATGACGCGTGCCCGAGATCATCTGGCACTGTGATGCCGAGCTTGGAGTTCGGCTTCGCGGTACGGTCAGTACACTAGCCCCCTGAGTTCCGAAGACCGTAGGTCGAGGAGTTAAGACCGAGCTCGCCAGGGGGAAGTGACCCCTCGCGTTTGTCTACCTGTCAAGATGCCACGTGTGCAAAAGTCGTTTCGTATTTCGAAACGCGAGGTCGGCGCGTTAGTGGTCATGACGGTTATGCGATGATGGTTTCCTCTGTCATAATGGGTCTCATTTAATGCATGGTCAGGTGTGTCCCTTGGGTGACGTGTCGTGACCGTTTTGAAATTCTGGGGGAGAGTTTTTTCTTTTCTCTCACTCGCGCCTCTTTGCCTTCTTCACTTTACTCTTTCTTCAACTTCTTGCGTACACCGCTTCTCTCGTTTTCGTCCGTTCTCCATCTTCGTTTCAGTCACCGTTTCCGGTAACCCCTTCGTTGTTAGGGTCATTTTCTGAAGAGGAGTACCAGGTACTTCCTTTTTACTGTCTTCTTTTCTCTTCTTCCCGATTTTTCTTCGAATCTTTCTTTTCTTTTTCATGGCTGGGGGGAGTAGTGCCGGTTCTTCTGCGCCTTCTCGGGGTAAGGCGCGTGGTAAGGCAGTGGTTGCCGGGAAGGCCACCGCCGAAAAGAAGGATCCGCCCCAGGGCCCGGAGCCAGGAATTCTTGGCTATGATTGGTCAAGAGCGAGATGGCGGGGGTCCAAAGCGTGTTTCGGACCTTTCTTGAGGTCAACAGGATCTCCAGGTCATGTAGGGTTTGCGACCCTTCTATCTCCCATATGATTCGGCTTGAGCCTTGTCAGGCCGATGAGGGCGTGTATATGGGGAAGTCTACTGACCCTCCCTATTTCTATATGTACCAAAGCTTTTTTAGGGATTTAGGTATCTGCCTTCCCTTCACTCAATTTGAGTGCGATTTTTTGAACTTCATCAACTCGGCTCCTTGCCAGTTGCACCCCAATAGTTGGGGTTTTTTGAGGGCTTTTCAAGTCCTGTGTATAGTACTGGGGATAGAGGTGTCTCTTCGCGTCTTTCTTCATTTTTATCAACTGAAGCTAGGCGCTCCTCCTTATGGTATTTTGTCTTTGAATGGGAGTAGGGATGGGGGTTTGTTTACTCTCTACTCCCAATCATATAAAAACGAGGTGTCCCTTGGAGGACGAGGTGTTCCACTTCGGCGGCTTGCCGAAGTTTCCTTTTTACTGGTGTCCCAAACCGTCTAGGTTTCATGGTTTGGGTAACCTGGAGGCGACGGCTTCAGAGGCAGCCGCGGCCGCCATTGAAAACGTTGATGCGCTCCCTCGCCCGTTGGATTGCAAGCTCGTTCTGTCGCTTGCGAATTCGCCCTACAGGGAGAGGGGCTTAGAGAGTGAGTATTTCGTGTTTTGGTGGTTTGTTAGGGCTCGTGTAATTTCCTTTTGTTGATGTGTTTCCATTTTTGTTTGTAGGCATTATGGGGAAAAACTTGTGGCGCGAGCTTAAGCACCGCTACAACATTATTGAGCTCGAGGTTCCTGAGCCTCCGGAGGAGGATGCTGCCCCCCTGAAGGCTAGCCGGAAGAGAAAGAGGGGGGGAAAAGAGATCGGGGGAACCTCGGTCCCTCCAGGTGTCGAGGAGGTGACCTCCAAGGCCGCTGATGCTGACGCGGTGGATCTTACTAAGAGTCCACCGCCCCAGGTGGTCTCTGAGGAGGTGGCTCAGATTGCTGAGCCTACTGTGCAGGCTGCCGAGGTGAGTGTCCTTTCTCTTTATGCACGTCTTTTGCGCTGACTTTGTTTGGTTTATCATGGTGATATGGGTTTTCTTGTAGGCCGGGGTGGCTGTCACTGAGGTAGGAGTACGGGCGGCTGAGCAAGTTGCCGAGGTGGTGAGTATTGTTTCTTCGGCTTTTTGTTGCCTTTTATTATGCTTTCTTGTCTTTTGACCTGGGGTCGTTTTTCGCAGGTAGGAAATGTTGCCGGGATGGCGACCTCCAACACTGGGCCAGTTGCTCCCGCCGTCGAAGAAGTGGTCCCAACCACCGAGCGGGCCTCCCATGCTGCTGGGGTAAACAGTGTTAACTTGTTTTTGTGATTCCCCGTATGCCACCTTGTTTATTTTCTGACATGGGGTTGGTTTTTGCAGGCGAGGTCGGAGGTTCCCATTGTGGACTCCCTGGATGCCGAGCAGGGGACGTCGGTTTCTGCCTCCGTTGAGGCTCGCGGACGGGGCCCGAGTTGTGAGGCTCCCCCGTCCACTGCTGCGGCCTCGGCGCCGCCTTCGGGCTCGCCACAGGGGGCTTCCCGGAGCGGATATTTGACCCATCGCTTCGGGAAGGGCCTTTCGAAAGTGCAGCTGGACCACGTGAGTGCCTCAGCCGACATGGACTCACTGTGGAGCTCGGGGGTGACCGCTGAGAAGTTCTTCCCTCAGGGTTCGTTGAGCTCCGAGGACCAGGGGCTGATAGAGGAGGTCGGTCCTGAGGATAGTTTCGATGCTGCTCAGGTCCCGCTACAGAGGACTATGGGCATCCTAGGCCACTGGAAACCGAGGTGGGCCAAGCAGCAGGGGGACTTGGCCAAGCAGCGAGAGGACCTGGCCAAGCAGCAAGAGGAGCTGGCCAAGCTGAGGGGTCAGCTTCAACCTTGGAAGGATGCGAATAAAATCCTGAGGGAGGAGAACAAGGCTCTCAGCACTGCCCTTGATGAGGCGA